GCGTTGAGTTGGGCTGCCGTCCACGCCCTCCCGAATCTGGACGTTCCGGTCCAGGGGAACAGGAATTCTAAATTCATGCGAAACACACACACACACATACACACTTCGTGAGCGCCCTTCTCGTCATGAGAGGAATTCTACTCAACTCCTGAGTTCTAAGTGACTTAAATTATTCCCCTACTCTATCAAACTCACTCGTATCACATGCCTTCGGTATTCCCGCAATGCTGCGCCTGCATCTCTACCAAATTTTGACGCCGCAGGTCCAAATCAACAATTTTGAGCACGTTCCGGTCAAATACACACGGACACATACTCCGACACACAGACACCGACACACATCAACACATACACTCAGATAAAGAAACTGACACACACACCGAATTGCACATCGATACACACACCGACACACATTCACACACACACATTGACGCACGTATACTGATAAATACGGAGCGATAAATACAAAATACAAATATATAAAAAAATACAAAAATACAAAATACAAACTAAAGATTCACCGACAATTCGATAGACTCACTCGGCGCGTTATAGAAACACTGATCGAGATCGACGGCTAATATGGAGCCAATCTGGAGGTGGCAGTATAAAATGCAAAAACGGCAAAACGCTGGGTATCCCAACCATCAACACCACCTAGTCGTCCCATTTCGAAGTCCACATCGCTATCCACCACACCATCCGTCGCTGCCAGCAGCTCAACCGTGGAGAGCACATATGAAACCTCCTCACACTTTTCAACATGTTTCAACATGTGCCTCCCTTTTTTGGCTACCGTCCACGTTATTTATAATGCACAGTCCGCAGGCGCCTCCTACAGTGCGCACAGTCGACGCCATGAATGAAGCAAACGACGCTTAATGGGTTAAAACGAAAATTTCTGACAAAATCATTTTCACTCCTTTTTTGGCAATCAGAAGGCCATTTAGCGGAAGTGGACCATACTTCCGTACTCAGTGCTCATGCCCTTACACCATGCTAAAAATCATTTTCAAACAGCGTCCACGCCCTGAAAGACCTTCCTTGCGAGCTTCATTCGAACTTGTTCTTGTCGTAATCATGTGTATTTTCGAAGCTCTTGATACTCCACTTTATTGGTCAGCTTTCGGTACATAATGCCTTCTTCAGACCTTGACTTTACAGAACGGAACTATTGGGGAAGAGGGGAGTGGACCTACTGGCGGGGGACTTGAAAAGAAATGGGACATCGCTTCTTTCTGAGGCGATGGTGGAGTGTTATCTTCAATCATTCTCAGGAGGTCTCGCATCTCCACCTTTGCGTTGATTTCCGGCTTGATACGGTACATTTCCCGTGCTTCCACGATTTTCCTTTCCAGGGACAGTACCAAATATTTGCGAAATCCTCACATCGAGAGATGGAACGTTTCCCTTCTCACGTTTGAGTGTACGATCCCTGAAAAAACTACTGTGCGGGTAGGCAGCGGGATTAGCCAACGCTCTTCAATGTTCATCCAGGCGGATCTTCAGGGGTCTTGCGGTCTCCCCCACGTACCTCTCTCCACATCCTCCGCACTGAATCAAATACACGGTGCCTTGAAGCTCACAGATCTTCACCGCACTTATCCACCACAATTTTTTCTTTTTTTCATTTTTCCACCACTACTGGTCATGTACTTGTCATGTATTGGGTTGTAACATAAGTTCGTAGAGTTTTGCGTTGGAGTTATTTTGCAACGATTTGTTTTGTTTTTCAGCAAAGTGTATATATTCATTCGAAAGAGCTTTTTCTCCTCTACAAAACTGTTTTATCCGTTTTTTGGGGAGTTTAACTGTTCGTCTTTTTTCTGGCTCAGAAATGGAATATCTAGGAGGAAAAAATCAGCATTTTCGACATCTGCTTTTCTTGCCGAAACAGCTCGGGAGATATGCAGTGTGTACAGGGAAGGTGTCTTACATAGGTGTGTCTACTGCACAAAAATGGTTCGCAAAGCTTGAAATAGGCGACTTTAAACTTGAAGACACGCCTCGAAGCGGACGACCTGCAGAATTCGACCAAGAGCGTCTGAAGGCACTATTGAAGGAAGATGGTCGCCAAACAATTCGTGTATTGGCTGACTATTATAATAACTTAATTAATAATTTATTATTGCAATTATTGCTTTTTGTTCAGAGAAATCTTTGTGAAAAACTCTACGAACTTATGTTACAACCTAATATATACCATACATACATACCATACATACATACCACACATACATACATACATACATACATACATACATACATACATACATACACACATACATACGTACAAAAGAACATAACAAACTTGTGGATCACATGCATATAATAAGGATCGCTTGCTAATAGATAACCATCATAATGCATGTATGTTTAGGGCTAGTCGAGATAACACGTTTCCTTGCAACAAAGCTAATCCGACCGCTAAATTATGGGAAAAGCAGGAAGGGTCGTGGACATCTGACAATGGCGTTATCAAAAGTTTAGGACATTAATAAGTACCATTCAAGATGTAGGTTGACTAATCAGGTTGTTCGGTCATAGAGAAGACGCCCTGTTAGGAAGGCAACAAGAAAAAGAATTCAGTTGTCAACGGCGTCAAGATCCTGAAATCGTTAGCAAATGGCATTTCCCAACACAAAATGCTGAAGAGGGAGGGACACAATTGATGAAGGGTATAAACAGAACAAATATAGTTCGATATACATATGGTGACACTCACGCTTATGGCACTAAACACATTCCAAGAGAATGGCGGGTTAGCCCATTGCTTCCACTTCCTTCCCTTAGGAAAGAAAGCAGCCAGCTTATTAAAGGGTGTTTGACTTGGAGAAGGGAAGAGAATGAAGAAGGAGCAAAGTATGACGTAGCTCAATTAAAATTCGCTCAGGCATAGTACGATGCCAGTATAGATCGAAATTACAGTGTCGAAGTACTCCACTCTGCACCACTCATTCCACTTCTTTAACCGACTCACCAAGTTACTGTTTATGTATAAGGAGGTGCAGAATAAAGTGAATTCTTCATATCACTTCTTCCATCGCAGTCTTAAACTTTAAGAAGGGACAGAGAGACGTACCGACAAATCCGCACTCCAAGTTACTGCTTCATAAATAAGAAGGATAATAAGCAATAAGTTGCAATAGTCACCATCTGCTTCATTGGATTCGGTATACTTTTTCAGACGAGCTGGAGACACCTCGACTACGGCCCGAGTCTGACAGTGAGGGAAATTGACTCAGCTCGCTCAGGTGTGCAGACCATTTTTGCTACCGACGCGACGCCTACTATTAGGGTGTCCATAAAGTTCGCTTGCCATTTGTAAACAGCGTCACGTTACGCAACGATTGTGATTTTGCATAATAATTTCGCAAGACCGAACGTACACGCGATGAGCTATCTTCTGAACTAGCCAGCTCTAAATTTCCTTCCCTGCTGTTCCCACAATAGAGCAATGAAGATGAGTGATAGTCACCTCCGCTGCCGAGGTTTGCTAGACTACTACAACTTGGGCATCTCTAGACTCAGGCCACAACCAGGATGCGTCAGCAGGTCGGTGATAACACCCCTTCTAGGAACTGAATGCCAAAATGGTGGACTCGCTTCACCAATGGAAACTATGGCATCGAATATATGCTAGGTCCAGGTACCCAGCCACCGTCGATCGACAAGGCATTCTGGATGCCCTGGACGATGAACCGACGTCGTCCTTGCGCGACTTAACCATGGTCACACGAGTACCCCGTTCCGCCATTCACAAAGTCCTGTTTGTATCTGGCAAGGTGTCGAAGAAGCGTCGAGTTGTCCCTCACGACCCCACGCCAGCACAGGCAAGGAAGGTGCATGAGGTGTGCCCCGACAACCTCAGACAGAGGCCTGAGAAAGATTCTCGGCTCCCTCATTTGACAAGATGAGATGTGGGTCTACTACTCTGGTCCTGCCAACAAACCAGTTTGGGTGGATTTCGATGAGCCCCCTCCAAGCCGGGCCAAGAGAAATATGCATGGAAAGAAAGCGCCTTCTGTCATTCTGGTTCTCTCGCCACGGCGTCGTCCACTACTGCATCCTACCCAACAATATCACAGTGACGGCAGAGACCCTCTCTGAAGAATTGCAGAAAATCAAGGTGAAAGCTGCCGCCTTGTTCCAGAAACTTGCAAATTCGTGGTTGCTTTGGAACAACGCGCGCCCTCATAAAGCGAGAGATACTCAGGCCGTCCTGGACAGACTGGGCATCAAGACGGTTACGCATCCGCCGTATAGCCCGGACATCGGTCCATGCGATTACCACATCTTCCGGTCCATGCAAAATTTCTTGGACGGAAAACAGCTGGAGACGAGCGCGACCCCGAGGACGTGATCGAGGACTGGGCCGAGCCGCGGCCAGCCAGCTTTTGGGAGGATGTAGCTCCCTCTTTACCCGATCGTCGGCGAAAGGTGGTGGGTGTGCATGAAGATTATATCATGGACCAGTAAGTTCAACTTGGTGAGTTATCTTTACAGGCTTTGAAAAAAAGAATGGCCCACGAACTTTATGGACACCCTAACACTACTACTTCCCCTTAGAGTTGATTCCGCGCGGTCGCGGCGCACTATTCCTGTCAGCCATCTCCACTTCTTTCTATCCACGGGATCTTCTGCCATCTCTTTAGCTTCGGTGAGGTCCTTCTTGATCACGCCTCGCCACCTCTCCCGAGCTTCTGGTCGCTTACCCTGGGCCTCAATTGCTTCCTTTACCGATTAAGTCTGTGGTCTTCTCGAAACATGCACCAACCATCGCAGACGCTGCTCTCTTATCTTCAGCTGGACAGGCTCCGACGCCTCCATTCCTTATACGGTCCAGTCGCGTCCAACCGCACACCCATCTAAACATCGTCATAACTGTCTCCCATGGCTTCTACTTACGGGCCAATATTCGCTCTCGTAGAACATCGAGTGCCTTACAACTGTCCGATACAGCTGTTGCAGAAGATACCAGCGAACTCCCTCCACTCCATTCACGCCACGTTTATAGGAAATTTTACAGTCTCGTCCAAGCTTGGATCAGCGGCTAGATCACTACCCACATGATGGAACTCCTGAAGCCCTTCGATGGCTTCCCCGAGCTCATCTACGATTGACTCCGCGCACTCGGAACTGAGAAACTTGACCTTCACGTTCAGCCTAAGTCCATTCTCCGGAAGCACTTTTTGCCAGTTCTGAAGCTTGTCCTGGAGTTCTTCTTCGCCCTCCGCTATCAGAGCAGTGTCATCAGCGTAGAGGATGGTCTTCAGTGGTTCAACCCTAAGTTTTACTTCTTCAAACGTAACGGGACGCGCTGTCTTCCTCCTGTTCATCATATAAACAATGGATTACCCCTGTGTCTTGAACCCAAATCAAAATGTCAATATCTACAATTTTGCATCATGTGACAGCATTTACTAGCTAAGATGAAGGTGGTCATCCTGAAGCTAGCCGTTTGCTGAGTAGGGTAGTTAATCGCATGGCATACAGGACTAACAAGTGGGATCTCAGGCGAAATATTGACAAGACCTACAGTAGCGGCCAAAAGTCTTCGGTGAAACACTTTTCCAATCGTAACTTTTTTTCTAGCAAAGGGATTCAAGAAAAATTTCGCTATGTTAAACCTCACTTTGAACCAATCTAGCTCATACTTTTTGGCCTCAAAACGGAGGAGATCAGGTGACTACGCGCAGAAGTTCCACTATAGAAGCGATTTTTGCTGATTGCAAGGTTAGCGATCAATGCATTTTTTGCTCGACGTTAGTACTTGTACACTCAAGGCATAGAAGGGCAGTAGTCACTCAGAAAATTCGGCTGGCAGCAGCAGACGCGAAGGGATCGGGCATGAACGTAACGGTCACCTCAAGAATTTTGAAGGACCCACGGCAGATGATTCCTTCGATTATATCATGTTAGCAGGTCAGAAACTCCGTCTGCAATGCTTAGAGAACGGGAAGACTCTAGGGTGCATTTTCAGCCCAGAATAGACGGATCACACTCCGGTAGAGGGCTGACTCCCGCCTCACTGCAGCTGAAATTGCCGCTGCGTTCATCGCTAGCGATGGCACCATTGCTAGCCAATACACTGTAGGAAGAGCCTTAAACATATTTATGTTCAATTAGTTTGGAATCGATGGTATACGGTGCCGACGACGTCCATCTGAGAAAAGGTTCTACACCTTTCCCCCAACCAAGCATGGTGGAGGAAGTGTAACAGTAGACGGTGTCTTTTCCTCAAACGGAATGGGCCCTATTTTGAGAAGTGTCGGCACAATGACAGGGGAGTAGTACAAGAACACGACGGTCGGTATCGTCTTGCACATGGCACAGCATCACATGCCAACAGGATAGATCCTGCAGCAGGGTAACGATCCGCAACACCTCTCAGTAGTTGTGAAGGCAACCTTCAGCGAACAGCGAACCATACTTCTGGAGAGGTCTAGCCAGTCATCGGATCTTAACCTATACAGCACATGAGGGGAGAGCTCAAAAAGCGTTTTTCGAGCAAACTTTGTGAAAACAGTTAAGAAAATTCGCTTGATAAGCGAAGTAGGGAACTTGATGCCAATGTCTAAGATTCAAAAGCTAATCGACTCCATGCCTTCCCATTGCGATGCTGCCATCAAAAGTCGGGGCTTTCCTACCAAATATCGATGTTTTTGATGTCTTACATGTTGCTATTCCGAAACAAAGTGTACTAGGTCAATGCTACCTGTACTTCAAACCGAAATTGAGTTCAGCCTCCTTAGCGTACCTTGAACAATAGCAAACTGCAGATTAATATTAGGTTGATGCATAATTATTGCGCATTTTTTTGCGGCTTTTTTCCTCTCGATAGAATTTGAATATTGAGTTCGAGTTTTTTCTGAAAATGATCTAGTTGATTTCCTCTACAAGAATATACTCGAATTACCATCCGCATATTCGCAAAATTAGGCTTTACTACTTCGAGAAAGATTGGAAAGTGGCACAGTCATTCCGCGAATTCAGTAACTTTTCGGCGATCGTTCATTAGGTGATCTAGTGAAAGTAAACATGATTTCCTGGCGGTCAAACGCGATTATTTTGATATTTTCTATTTCCTCTGCATTTTACCTGCCTCTATATATTGGGTTGATGCATAATTATTGCGGATTTTTTCCAGCAAATTTTACTTAAAGAAACTATAAAAATACTAAGCAAAGACGTATTCAAATAAATACTCCGGAAGTTATTCACCATCTACGTCAAGCACTGCTTCCCATTGATTAGGTTGTCGGATCCCAAAAGCGGAGAAGTTTTGATCCTTACGGGCGATCCACGCCTTGACATCGGCCATCAAGTCATCCAAATCGACGTAACTTCTATTCTCTAGCTTCGATGAACGGTCGACAGGATAATCCATAAAAGTTCTTGCTGGTGAATATGACAGATTTAGGGGCAGATCCCATTTCTTGGTTGGCTCTGGCTGATTGTCGATCGCCGAAAAGTTACTTTCATCGCGGAATGACTGTGCCACCTTCCAATTTTTCTCGGAGTAGTTAAGCCTAATTTCGCGAATATGAGGATGGTTTTTTGATTATATTCTTGTATAAGAAATCAAGTAGAACATTTCTAGAAAAAACCCAAACTCAATATTCAAATTCTATCGAGAGAAAATAAGCCGCGAAAAAATCCGCAATAATTATGCATCAACCTAATAGCAGCAAGTAATCATGATATGCCTTTGATCAACACACTAAAATTTCGTACCATTTTATGAAGTAGTAAAAAAAGTTGCAATTAGAAAAGCGTTTCACCGAAGACTTTTGGCCGCTACTGTACGTGCTTTCATTGGGCGAACGATCGTCTGAGACTTCATTTGATTGTCTGCCAGCGGCTTCAGCCCTTACTCAGTGTCGGAATTTAGGCGTAATCATTTCTAAACCATAGCTGGGAAGCGCACATCGACGAGATAGTGGGAGCTCTAAGTCGCCTCTACGGTTCGTTTAAAACACTTAGATCCGCCAACCCAGATATTCTAATCAAGCATAGGATATACATATATAGATATACAGATATACACGGATATACATATATATAGCATATACAAGGCACATTTTCTCTCCAAGCTTGAACATTGTAGCTAAGTCTGGAGTCCTAGGGCTAAAAAAACACTGTTGAGAAGGTAGAAATGACCTTCACCAGACTCTTGTATTACCACGTCTTCTCTGACTCAATTACCCAAGATCTCTACTACTTTACAGTATCCGACTGAAGGATCATGGCATGAGAAGCCTTCTATTCATACGACGCTTTCGTACAAATTACTCGCTCTCAAAATCCTAAGAGTTTTCTGGCAGTTCTGCTTACATCCGTATAATTTTTGGTCTTTCAGAACTTCGTCTACAATTAGACCTTGTTATAACCAGCATTAACAGATCTTGACACCGTCTCCTCTTGCAGAATGTTGCCAGAAACTTTTCTTCTATAGAACTTCTGCTTGCATGAATAAGCGCTAACTGTGGCTTCTACAAGGAGAGAAGACATCCCCCTTCAAAGTATTCTATTAAAAAGTGACTTTATGCTTGTGGTATTCGTGATTTTTAGCTCTGTATTCGTTGTTATGCTGTCGTTTTCATACTGCCGGTTTGTTTGACTTTTTATTTATATTTATTCGGTTTGCCTTCAATGTGAGGAAAAGCTATGCATACGCCTGTTAGCTTCAACTTTTACCATAGCATTCTGGCCATTTCTTGCGACAAGCAAAAAAAGGATTTGAATGTTACCCCCTCTCATTCCTGGTATCCTTCACGTCTCCTGGCGTCTATTTTTGTTTTACATGACAGTTGAGGACCAGTAAGGGCGGGCTATTTATGGGAAGACCTGGGTCTTACATCCGAGGTTCGTATTCAACTCAAAGGGGCAACTAATACATGGGCTTGCCTCGAAATAGCTTCCGCTAGTTTCGTTGCTAGGACTGATCTTCTGTCTCTTCAGCAGCGGACGGTAGAGCTCAGCAGTGAGAATTCATACCTGGAACCATAAGATATCTTTCTTGACAATTACTAATACATTGATATATGCGTCACTTCCCCTAAAAGTTCAAGCAATCTCGCTATCCTTTCTGCCACAATTTCGCGCTGATTGAAGATTCCATGGTTTTTCTTCCCAGAAGTCTTCTATATGCTAGTTCCTATTAGGCATTGTGCAGTCATCCGATAGTTTTCTATGTGCGTTCTGCTGCTTTGTGCCTGAGCCCTCTTTCCTTTCCCATAGTTTTTTATTTCCTTTTATAATTTTCTGTTCTGCTACCTTTCTTCTTGCGGGTCTTTGTCCCTTAGTTTGCGCTCACGATTTGCTCGGTCTGTCTGGATCAGTTCCCTCTTGTTACAACTCAAAACGATTCGTCTCCATGTTTTGATTTCAAGTGAGCGCACCTTGAGTGCAGATAATAAATAAATAAGTGAATAGCTTCTTCGGAACACAAACTTTTCTTCCGATTTTTCCACTAAGAATGCCTATTGCTGGATGTCGTCCAAGTGAATTGTGGAATATTTTGAAAGACCTTGCTTCTTAAAAAAGGTCAAGAACCATCATACCAGTATAGCTTCAGTCTATCTTGATTTTCAATTTCTCAACGCAACAATTTGTATAAAACAAATGCAACGAATATGACATCAATGCTTTGTCGCATGACTTTTGGCGTGAAAGACAGCTTGAATCGACGTAGCATGGACTCGATGAGCTTGTCGGTCTCCTCCTCAGGGATGTTCTCCCATGCGACCTTCAGTCGAAAAAACTTTTCGTGCTCACTTCGCCCCTAAAGCCTTTAACTTGAGGCTCGAGTCTGCCCCATAGATGTTTAATGGGATTTAGATCAGGGGACGGCAACGACCATAACAGCAATGAAACGAAACCGGTAGGTGAGTAGCCCCGATTTCCGTTTCGTTTCATTGTTCTACTAAGAAATTGAGCCACTGGGGTTAGTACTGCAAACAAACAGCCAGATATCAACCTTCAGAATGTAAAGCCGCATCTTGGAATCCATATTACCACAGATACCGAGTAGTGGACCGACTCCTTTGCCTCAGAAGGTGCCGTGAACCATCATCGTTCCCTTAACGGTCGGCAGCTGGTAACTTTCAAGGTGTCTGGTACCGATTGCTCCTCGCACAGGTTTGATTTCATTTCTCAGCAAAACTTTGATTCGTCACTCCAGATGACCCTACACCACTGCTTAATGTTCTAGTTCTTGTAAGCATGAGCCCAACCGAGAAGCGCTCGGCGGTTTTTGACAGGAATCAGCGGCTTCTTCATTCGACCACGTCCAAACAGACCGATATCTCCTTGAAGTAATGTCCAAGTGCGACTATCTATGAATACCGACATGTTTCTTTCCAAATGTGAGGTTTACTTTTTAGCTGCGCAAACCAAAATTGTATAATAACAATGCTTTATTCGGCTTACGTTTCGGACTTTCACCCTTCCTCGGAGCCCGGAAAATAGTCATTCGAGAAACCGTTCAGTCAAGCATTATTCCAATCTACAGAAGAAGTTCAAATGGCGTGGATTACGAAGTCAAAAAAAGGCAAATAACCTCTAGGATAGTCGATCTGTGCAGTCCATCGGTCACCTCAAGCTGGTATGACTGCGGCCTGGAAAGAATGAGTCTCAGGTTAACTTGCTTCGGGGGCTTCCAAGGAACTAATTACGTAAATCGAGCCTCCTCAAAAGCCAACAAGGCCGAGTGCGCCGTTGACCCTTCCCAATCAACTCCTATCAATTACAGTATAAACCCCTGTGTCTGTCAGGTCCTGTACGTGCTCATAGATAGATAAAATTCCGCAACCGTGGATGATCCGTCATATTTCAAGATTAGACCTATCGTAAGTAATGTTGGTGGCTCAACGGATAGAATATCATGGCTCCTAAAATTAATACTTGCACAGTTTTTAGAGTATCTCTCTGCTAACCTTCCCAACACCAACGCGCTGCTAATGAAACTTCACGATGCTAGGTACTTATACCTACTTATACTGTTCGTCTTCACCCATGTGCGAGCACCAGTAACGAACCATTCGCTCCTGTCTTCCGCAATCGCCATCCACGGTGGGCTCAGAATTCGACGGAGATGGCGATGTAAGGAGTCGTTCAGCTGCTTTCGCAGCTGTTTCACGTGATCGACAGGCACATCCCCCACCTCGCAGCAGGTCTACCCTCAGATCGTGAAGACCGTACGGGAGCCCACTCCACTGTTCTTCTTGTCCATCTGTCATCATCCCCTATCATTATATGACCGGCCCATCGAAATTTTGCGTTCTCCATGTGTTCCACCGGGTCGTGGAGTCGCGACATCCTGCGCATATTGGAGCTGCGGAGTCCGGTTCGATATTGATTGAGCCGGTTGAAGCTCAAAAGAGATCGCTCGGGCGCGCTGTGACTTGTGTTCAGAGCCCTTGACGTGAATGCACTGGTCACCGAAGTCTCCGACCCGTAATAGAGTGCAGGAAGTACTGTGAGATCAAACAGATTAGCGCGCAGAGGTCCGAAGGCTGCCCACGCTCCTTTCTGCCGCCTGACCAGTTTTTCCCTCATGTCGTTGTCCCTATTCATAAAACGCCCGAGATAAATGTAGGACAAGTTCTCCTTGGTCGGTGTACCACCAATCTTAATTTGACCGTCGTCAGCCCAAGCATTCTTCATGAACTGTGTCTCTGTTTGGTTAATCCCCAGCCCTACCTTCTTTCCTGCTGTACTAAGCTCACCAAGCATAGCCTTAGCGTCCGCAATGCTGCCTCAAAAGAGAACGAAGTCGCCTGCACAGCGGAGATTCGAAAGGACCCGTACATCCACATGAATGCCCTTCTCGTTCCAGTCTAGCGATTTCATAACCCACTGCAGCGCGGCTGTGAACAGCTTCGGCGGAATAGTGTCGCCTTGTCTCACACCATTCCCCATGGAAATGGGGAGAGGTCGTTGGGACAGCTTTACCGTCGCGCTGCAGTGGCTGCTGTAGTCAGCTAGTATTCGTATGTGGGGAGGGTCCACTCCTTGAACGACCAGTGCTGACAGGACCGCGTTCGTTTCAACGCTGTCAAAAGCTTTTTCATGGTCTACAAAGGTAAGGACAAGAGGCATTCGGAACACTTCGATGACAATTGCAACTGCTTGGATGTGGTCTAAGCAGCTGAATCCCTTCCGGAATCCGACCTGCTCTACAGGTTGAGCTTCATTCAACGTCAGCAATATGCGTGCTAGAATGAACTTTGTGAACAGCTCGTAAAGCATCTAACAAACTTTTTGGGCGGTTGTTGCGTATAATAGTGTACTATAAATAGTAAAAAAAATTATGAAGGCTCCAACGCAAAAAATCAGTCGAGCAGTAGAAAACTTAGACGAGAGATTTCGGGCCATACAAGCCGACATCTGATGGTAGTGACGAAAGCATGTAGCAGGGCGACAAGATGCCTCCCCTCTGGTAGGCGAATATTTCTCGGACGAGTCCCGGTCCTTAATCCAGAACGTAACGTACGTAACGTATAGGGGCTTGCTGTGCGCAACTTAACGAACTCGGGCGGACGGACAAGGGGAACTCAAGCAAGGGAGTCGCCATCCCTCCAGTTCCTCGCACATCTACCTGACCACAGCTTCGAACGCGAAGCGGCAAGTCGGTCAAGGTAATCTTTCGCGTGACTGAAGAACAGAGCTTCGCGTCAGAACATATGATGAAATACTAAAAATTAGAAAGAAAAGAAAAAAAGATGATGCTAGGTTGGAGAGAGAAAGCGTGGTGGAGTTCTTTGACGCCACCTCGCTATACACTAATGTGTCGAATGACTGTGCTATGCAAGCAACATGTGAAATTCTCAACGAATATCAAAACTCTGTTAATCTATATGGCCTGTCAATATCTCAGGCCATGACACCCCTTCGAAAGTGCCTATCGCGCAACATATTCAAATATTCGAATTCGGCTTGCTCCAGTATTCGCTGTGACATTATGTCGGAAAACGAGCAAGCTGTTTTAGAACGTAGACCCGTTTTGTACTGTCGGTATGTAGACGATTGCTTTATTGTGTGCTCCACCCTGACGCGGATGGACACCTGTTTCGAATTGCTAAATCAAAATCGGAACATATGTGTAAAGCTTACACGGAAGAAATCAACAAACGTTCAGCTCGCTTTCCTCAATAGGCCTACCAGCGAATTTTGATCAAGTTCCGTTCCGACCATCCATTTGACAACAAGAAAACCATCATAAGGAATATGCTGCACACCGCCTCAGGAGGCTCCTCAGGAGGCGAAGAGAAAGCGAAGAGTCGGTGTAACAGTTGATCCGCATAGCAGAGGCAAACGACAAGGAAACCTCAGTACTCCCTCTTTAACACAGCCGTACACAATCATCACGAGAAAGAGGGAACAAAAGTTTCATTTTGCGTCCCATTCATATCGGGCGAGTTAAGTGCGGCTATATGATCATGGTGGAATGGTAAGTCTTCAGGAGAGTTGTGCATATCACTCCCTCGAACCTTAAACAACGAATAGTCCGAAATCGCCTGTATGACCACCTGTGCACAACGCCTTCGGTGTCATATGCCCAAATAGTGAGGAAAGAGACTGCATGACATCCGGTGTTGCACATTTGATATAGTGTCTTCAGTGTTAAGAGGAGTATGTTGGGGAAACTGGTGGCCCTCTTTGCATCAGGATAAAGAAGCACCTGAATGACAAGTCGAGAACAGCTTCTCCTCTCAGAGAACTGAGGGTACGATGTCATGGGAAAAACGCTTTGAGGTGACGGTCACGATATTATCACGTGAATCGGATACTCTATATTAAACGAAGGGAAGCGTGTGGGGATTACCTCAGTGCTGGCGCTGCGGGCTCGACCTTCTGCGGCTTTTAAGGAGGCTTGACCTACTTAAAGGCACGGTTTACGTTAAAAAATGATTGCTGAGTTTTTCCCCCAGGAATACTCAGTGATCCCCAAGGGCAATAGAATAGACCCTCTCGCGCCCAGAAACTTGACGGTTAGGGCATAGTGGAAGCCCTGTTAACGGGTCGCGCGGTCTTCCCGCCCCTCAGTCGATGTCACGTCAGACGAGTGTTGAAGCGGTACAGATCGCAATATTCGTTTTGGGACCCACACACAATCAGCTGATCGGCGAGTTATGAGGCTATGTTTTTCTCCGATTCTTTTTTCCTCTGATACTTATTTACTGCCGCGATCCCTTATTAAATTTCCTACCCCAAGGCTTTTTAGGCTGAAAAAGGTGAGCTTTTTCTGCTGTTGCCAGTGTTTTTTGTTTATTTGTGCTTATAAGAGAATGAATTTTTGCTTACCGTAGTCAGTTATTTGCACCAGGACCCATACATACACAATGACCCACATTGTATAGATCGTCCAAACGCCCCTCCCTTCTTCATTCTTCTGCTCTCATTCTCGTCCATCCCCTTTTTGACGATTTTTCGAACCTTTTTTCGCTTTGGAATTACCGATTCACGCAGTTTCTTCGCATTCGCCTTCATCGCACTATTTCCCACCTGATATTCCATTTTTCGTCATAACCTAGATTACCCAAAATTATCGTGAGCTGTGTCTTTAACACGTCGGCGACCGTGTATGGGTACATACGTGCGTGCGAGGTAGGGCGCAGGAAGTTCGTGACGATTTGTGCGAATCTGACGCCAATTTTCAGAGCACAAACTGGAAGTAGAGTAGTTTGGTAGGGTCAGGTGACCCTTCTGATCAACTCTACTTCAAATTTGGATCCCAATGTTAGGCGCTGAAGTTGTTCAAATCGCCACGAACTCCGCCGCGCAGTCTGCCGCGCGCATCCTCGGACGCACGTAAGTTCCGTCCCCCTTGGCGACCATGCGTCCCGATGCTAGGACGCACGTTTTTGGCTCGCTGGGGTATTTATATTATTGATCCCGTGTTCCTATAACTTTTCATGTTTTCATGTATCGGCTGAGCTCACAGCCTTCTAAGGAATCTTGAAGCGTTGCGGTCCAGGAATCATTCATTTCTAATTACAGATATAAGAGAAAATAAAGGTTAATGTAAGGACAATATAAAAGCGCGGTCGCCAATGGGTTAATCAGCATCTTTGAGGCCCGTAGCACTCACCCTATTTAAACCGCAGTAATTCCAGCCTGGGGTGATCTATGGACAGCTCAGTTCGACTATCTTGAAGGCTAGTTGCCAACTTTCGACTTCGTAGTGCACGCCCTTTGAACTTCCTCTGTAGATTGGAATCACGCTCTGCCTAGTGGTTTCTCAGATGGCTCTTGCCTTTCCAGGCTCCCAAAAAGAAGAAAACACCGAATAAAGCATTGTTACAATCTCGGTTTGCATAGCCTAAAAAGTAAACCTCACAGACGATCTCTCCCGAACAACATCGAATAGTGTTTATGGACGTATGCCTCTCAGGCGTCGATTTTTCGCAAAAAATTCCAACGCGGGTCGTTATTTGCTGCTCTTGGGTGACTTTTGACTTTGGCTAACCTATGTCCTCGCATTCCATACGAATCGTTTGCACGCACCTAACTGACACCTTTTATATTTCGAATACTTACCTAAACGTTAGGGCTTCACGGAAGCTTCGAATGACCGCATAAACTTGCTCTTGCCACAAGTTACAGATTTCCGGGTGATTGATAGAGCCTTATAAATATAATAAGAGCATGGTGCCGCACGAAAAGCAGAGCAAGAACTACCCGAAATTCTCACCTTGGCAAAAGTTATCTAACAAGGGAAGGATACTTGGTCGCAGTGGTCATTCGAGATGGGATGTATACCCCCGTAGGTGGTTTCGAACGCTGATCTCAAATCTGTGTTAATAATCTGCTAAACGATTCTGGCAACAAAAATACGGGACCGATCTTCCCTATGTTATACCACACTAACGAACGGATCACCGAGTCGAGCAAAGATCGTACCTGTGCAATGGTGGCCGAGCGCGTAGTGTAGTGGACTGGTGGCATGGCATCAAGGTTCGATTCCTTGATGCATGCACTCTATTCGCGTTTCCATAAAATGTGTCCTAAACGCTTGAAAAACTTTTTTGGGCTCAATATTGGGCATCTACGGAGCTCCCTCACAATTAAGGAACACTGAAAAGGATTACAAGGGAGGTTTTTTCCCCCTAACCGGTCGAATAAGGGTGGAGTTATAATAATGATTATGATTTTGAGTTCGAGTTCTTTAAGATATCTGGATCATGGTCAGATTGCAGGCCAATATTGGTAAATATTCACGATACACCCGCGCAAC